GATGTTATAATAGTGAGAGTGTTGTGTGTGGTTTTAAAAAGTAATTAAGTGTGGCTATTAGTGATGGTATAATTATAATATAATAAGTAGAATAAGTTGTTCATGTGGATTAATACGCTACGCATCAAGTTGCCCCATCGTTATAAAACTCAAGTCCTCTGTGTTTTGTTCATATGTGTCGAAATCAACTGAATGATAAGTAAAAATGTAATCTACATTAAAGGTATAAGGGGTATTAAGGTGTTTGGGTAAATCAACGATATAAGCATTATTGTTGATTTTCTTGAGGATTCGAATTGGTCCGATTTTGCGAGGGATAAGCTTTGAATAGGTTCCCGGTGGAAATCTTTCACGGCAGAGATGAACCCACACTAGCTCGTTGGGATGGAACACCTTGTAGTGACGATGTTTATCAACTTCTTCTTTATAACATTCATTGGAAACTTGAAGTTTGATACTAACATTAGACAACATATTGGATAATTGGTTAGCCAAACAAGTCATCGATTTACTTTTGCATTTAGGGAGAACAACAATATCCACTGTATTATTGGGTGCTTTAAAGTATACAATGCTAAATGGACTGGGCCCGATAGATCGATTAAGCATGGATTTGTAACCAAACTTGGCTTGGATTAATACTTCGTCCCATTGTTAGGTGATATTGGACTAAACAATTAAGCATGTTTCCAAGTGTCTAGTTCATCACTTCTGTTTGCCCATCGATTTCATGATGGTAATCAGAGCTAAGTTGTAAAGTTGTGTTCATTCTCTTCCATAGTTCTGGCCAAAAAATGACTTAGGAATATCATGAAATGATCTAAAGTTCAACTCCTTTGTATACCATTGAGACGAACAATTTCATAAAAAAATAAATGAGCAATATGAAGAGCATCGAAAGTTTTCTTACAAGAGATAAAATGTGATATTTTTAAAAATATATAAATGTCCACCAAACCAAGCCAAGTTTGATCCGAGGAAGTCCAAGAACAAAGTGAAGACTTAGATCCTCCCAATTCGTCTGTGGAATCGAAAGAGGTGTATATATATAGTCCCATATTCTGTCCACAACCATTGTATTGTTGGCAAACTGAACATCACTTGATGAAACGAGACACATCCCTGCATAAATGAGGCAAAAAAAAAAATTGCAATTGTTCAACAGTCGTAAGTCCTTTACAATAGATTTCTTTAATTAAGTGATGACGCCGGGATGATACAGGAATGTAGAGAAAATTATTTTTAAATAAACACCCATGATAGATGGAGTTTTCAAGCGCTGCACAAGCATGCCAAATGCTATGAAACTCTCTGTTCGATGCATACACGTCTTTGAAACACTCGAGACCATTGATTATAGTTTGTAGCCAAGTGAGAAGGGTGGAACACCTGTTGAGTGCATCGGCTACCCAGTTCTACACTCTTGATTTATGCTATAAAATGAATGTGAACTTTTGTAGGTAGAGAGACAATAAAGCCATTCTCATTAGAGATGCTAGCTCTTGTTGTGTCTTAGAAACCAGTAACTATTGCGAAGAAACGGCAACGTCTCTCCCATTAATTTATCCTCCCATATTAGAGAACAAAAATACGGGAAACAATTATGAGTAGAAATGAAGAAATAAAAAAAAAATGAGAGAAGGCTCGAGCCACATTCAGTAAATATCTCACTTGCCTCGCTATTTTGTAATTACTAGTGTTTCTCAAAATAAATTTGAATTTATTTCGAATAGGTCTACTATGGAAGCTATAGATTTACTGGGAGGTTTGATGGATAAGTATAGAGACAATATAGAGGATCTACATATGATATTTATTGATTTAGAGAAAGCATATGATAGTTCTAAAAGAAGTGCTATGGAGAGTTTTAGAAAATAAAGGAGTTAATAATACTTATGTTCAAGTCATTAAGGATATGTATGTAGAAGTTGTTACTTACGTTCAAACACAATGCAGTTTAACCAAATATTTTCCTACTTCAGTAGGAATACTTGAATGATCAGCCTTAAGCCCATATCTTTTTGTTTTAGTCATGAATGTTCTTACTAAACATTCGCAAGAAAATATACCCTAGTGTAAGCTTTTTATTGATGATATTCTTCTTATTGATAAGACTAGATAGGGAGTTGAAGGTCAGTTTTAATTAGGGAGGTTAACCTTAAAGTTTAATTATTTTCATTTGAGTAAATGTAAAACTGAATATGTGGAATGTAATTTTGGTAGTAATAAATCTAGTGGGGGTTGTGACTTTGGGCGATCAAGTCATTAGTAAGAGTACACATTTTAGATATCTTGGGTATATTGTTCAAAGTGATGGTGAAATAGATATGGTTATTATTAGTAGAATTAAAGTTGGATGGTTGGAGTGGAGGAATTCATCGAGCTTGTTTTGTGATAGACAATTACCAATCAAGCTTAAGGAAAAATTCTATAAAATGGTGGTGAAACCTGCAATGCTTTAAGGGGCATAATATTGGCTATTAAAATATGATCATAATATTAAGTTGTAGAGCTGAGGATGCTTAGGTTGATGAGTGACTTTGCTCTAAGACTATAATTTGGCATCTTAGATTCTAACTGATGAAACTATTTAGTATATGTAGGGCTATGCAAATAATTATTTGAAGAATAATTGAAGAATACTTTGATGTGTATTTATACAATATTTGTTTATTTATATAATTAAATAAATTTGAACAAAAATTTAAAAAATTGAGGTATTAGATTTGACTTATGTTAAGAAAGATAGAGGTAGACCTAAAAAGACTTGGTTAGAAAATATTACAAATGAGCTTTCTTTATTAGATTTAAATGAGAATTTGACTTTTAACCGGACACTATGGCGAAAAAGGATTCATGTAGCTGACCCCATGTAATGGGACAAAGGCTTGTTGTTGTTGTTGTTGTTGTACTTGTTAAATATCAAATAATTATGTTCACAAATATAAAGGAACAAGCATGTCAATGTTTAAATTTGTTCATTTATATGAAGAGCTTTTAAATTTTTGTTTGAACTTATTTAATTGCATAAATAAACAAATAGAAATGATTGAATGTGTCTTATTTGAATGAGTATCAAATTGTACATCAACTATACTTGTTTGCTTGCAGGTGTACTTAACCCTTTCAATGAATTTTGCATTTCTTAGAGGCCATATTCTTAATTCAAAAAACCCAAAATCAAAAACTTTTTCAAATCTTCAAGTCAGTACACTTGGATTCCTGCAATAGTAGCAAGTTTTCAGTCTTAGTTTCAACTTTCAACGCTATGGTAAGTTTCTAACTTTGGAATCCCATTTCTAACACTGCAATTAATACCAGTCCTTATTACAGTGCTATACCCGAGAACAAAAGGAAACCGATAGGAAACACTTGTGGATCTCAAGTAATTCCCATCAATCTTCGGAAAATAGCGAGAATTCTCCACAAAAATCCACACAAAACCAGGGAAACAGTAGATAATTTGTATTATTTGATGAAAGGGAAACGGAAAATACCAAGATACAATTGATCCTCTATACGAGAGGAGAATCTATCTCTTCCAATTGTCTCGAAGCTACTAGAGCCCAAACAAAACCTAAGAGAGATCTCAAATTTTAGCCAAATTCAAGATGCTCTAACCCTAGAAAACAAGCTATTTAATGCATACAACCCAAAAAAAACTCTAAACAGTCTCTACATTCAAATTTTCCTCTTACATCCCTCCAAAAACCTTCCTATTCTGACTGCTGGACCGGTCTAACAGTTTGAGCGGCATGCAGTGGAGTGGGTGAGTTCCGCATGTGTCTCCACGAGCCGATCCTGTATGGACTGGCTGGACCGGTCTAACAAAAACCAAATAGCCAAATGCAATGACATTGTCAAAATGAACAACCATCATAATTATGCTACAAAAGAATACCACGAACAAGAAGCCGAGTTTTGCAATTGTTCATGAGCTTGCACTTATGCCCAACTTGTTTCAAAAATTCAACTCACATGTAATTTTCTAGAATCTCATTCATTGGTGATTGGCTCAATCATTTAATTTCCTGCTGGCTGTAAACTAAGGAAAATTTGTTATACACCTCTTTTTAAGAAGTTAGTTCCATCCATAATATTTTTCGGTGTTGGAAATTTTTATTAACCACTAAGAGGCACACTTAGGGTTGGGCCGACGGTGCAAATCTAAGGGAATGTGCACCCTAAGGGAATGTTGCACATGCATTCAGATGCTTGGAAACTTTTTGCAGAGAAGAAAATACCAACGAAAAAAAAATCATTTAAACTTCAGAAATTAAAACGGACCCAGATGGAACCTTAAGGGTCACCAGTTAGTCTCTCCATTGTACTTTGCAACTCTGCAGGCATAAACAAAGAATTTGAGCATTTTTGAAAATGACGGGAACCTATCTAGAGCATTTACATAGCATAAGAGACCCAGATTAGTCATATCAATTTGGAATATGTCAAATCTCTTGAGGGCTCAAGGTAATCAGAGGCTGGAAACTAATAATGTTTGGCTAGCCTATGAGTTGTTACTATTCAATTCTCCAGATGGCCAAATGCAACCTCTGTTATTTATTTAAAGCTTCTTTCAAGACCTTTTCTTGTTTTGCTGGAAGCCTAGAACTTACTACTGAAATTGCCTAGTGCATGGGGTTGTGCATCTTTCTTTTCTGTAGTATCTTGCATTTGATGAATAAAACTGCATTTAATGAATGAATAGCAAATATAACCAAATTGATAGAAAGTTTAAGATTGTAGAAAGAAGCATTAAAAGTAGAAGTTTCATTGTTTTGCAAAATATTTCCTTGCATTAAGAAGCACTCTGCAATGCCTAATGAAGCACATAACTTGTTTTTATTCAAAGAAAATCCTGTACTACCATCGTAAGGATTAATTCTTATGAAATATGGTTTCATTTTTGTTTGACTGATCTCTTTTATCTAACTTCTTGTTTGTATGCTAATCTCTTTAAAATTTGAAATTCATTATTTAACATGATGTATGCACAACAGGTGAACTTTATACCTGGGGTCGAGATCAAGGCGATGGTAGATTGGGCCTTGGTAGTGGCGGAGGTCCGGGTGAAGGAGGGTCTTTTGCCACTCCTTCCAGAGTAAATGCATTACCTGTGCCTGTAGCAGCAGTTAGTTGTGGTGGATTTTTCACTATGGCATTAACCGCAGATGGTCAGCTATGGAGTTGGGGAGGTTAGGGGATTATTGAGTTTTATGAATGCATATTTTGTAGAAATTAATTTAGTTGCAGCTTTCTTTTGATGCCAATACTCGATCTACTTCACCCTGTTTTCTTTGCCTCTAATAGTAGCTGCCTAGGTTGATTCTTTATTTTGGATATATTATCTGCCTTATTGCGAATTTCTCAAGAAATTTTGTCCTGAGATCCTTCCTCTATTTGGATTTTCTGGGATTCCTTGGCTCCTACAATCCTTCTTTTCACAGCTATTTTTCGATGTCTGTTATTTTTTGTTGTTTTGAATGCAACCCTCTTTCTTTGTTGGTATTTGTGTCCCGGGCTTCTTCTGATATCATTACTTGCATCGTGGGCTCTGCAATTCTACTATAATATTAGGATTTATCTATTTAGCAGCAACAATTTGTGTGATTGTTGTATTGTTTTCTGTATCTTACCCTTAATTTGAGACTGTCTACACCAATCTTGTTTCTTATTGATCTTTTATTATGAAGTAGGTTGTATGGTTGGCCTCTTTAATGTTTATTAACCCTCTGGAAACATGAGCAGCTACTTTCTATTCAAGCTCTCTTGTAGACTTTATTTGTGACGGCTTTCTTTCTGCTTCTTAAAGCCTCTTCTTAGTACAAAAATTATTTTTTTTACTAGAAAAAAGAAGCAATAAAAAAGCCGTCCCAAATGAATCCGTAGTTGGCACTTGGCATGATTTGTTCATTCCGTTGAATATTTTATCTCTTCGTGTCTACTCTTCTGATTGATTAGTTGAGATGATGCTTCTGTTGCAGCAAATTCAAATTATGAACTGGGAAGGGGTGACAGTGCTGATGATTGGAGACCAAAGCCGATACCTAGCCTTCAAGATACTCGTATAGTTCAGATTGCTAGTGGGGGGTATCATACTCTAGCATTAACTGGTATATTTAATGAGCAGTTTTTTTTCTAACCATTCAGTTGTGTGGTATCTTTATATTTAACTACCCTTATCTCCGAAAGAAGTATATTAGCCTTAAACATACTCGTATACTTTTCTGCAGCATTCTACACTGTCATTTTAAGATGCAGTTTTGTTTTCTGATAGCTGTTCATACAATTCTTTTTTCCCGATTCATTAGTGAGTTCAAATTTTCCCTTAGTATTGGAGTTCAATATGTTCTACTGCACAGGAAGCCATAATAAGCTGTTAGAAGAAGTCTTGGCCCTGCCAAACAATAACTGTTGTTTTTAAAGTTGGTCTATCCAACCAATAATTATCCATTGATATAACCTAAAACTGTCATGTACAAGATGCCACGAGTACCTCTCCTACAAAATCATTAGTGTGCCTTGCAAATTTTGCTCAAGCTATTTCATGGACATGGATCCATCGAATTTGTTTCCAAAAACAGGGGATCATGCTAATATTGATTTCCGACATATCAAAGGCAGTCAACTGGCCTTTTTTTTGCTCAAAACCAGCAAAACCGGTATCCGTTTAATTTGTCCTTCAGCAATCAAAATTAGATTTGGTGGCATCATAAATTTGAATAAAGTAAATTAATGATATGCCTGGGAAGTAAAATCAGCAACGAAATAATAGAAATGTACAGGATTACTTGAAGCAATGGCTGATTTTGGATTATCCCTCAAGCAAAAAAGAACAAGATACAAGTGATCTACAATTAGAGATGTAGATTGGCTCTCCTAAAGAACCTAGACGTTACTAGGAGCCTCCAATAAAAAAATTACATCAGAAAATCAAAACATACGAAATGAAAATAAGCAACATAACTAGCCCTAAATAAGCTCTCCCTAATTCCCCCCAAAATGACCCTCCTTAATTAATCCCCTCTCATATTTGAATTCAAATAGAAAATCTTTCTGTACTCATTCATCCTCCTATTATAATAAATTATTGCTTTGTTAGGCCCCACAAACCAAAACCCCCTCTCCCTATTTCGGTTTCTGCTGGACTGGTCCCTATTGGGGAATGATGGAAATTGCTTCTTGATCACCTCATACAACTCCCATGTAGCTTCATAATACGGTAGGTCCTTCCAACGCTCTAGGACTTCCTTTGCTCTTATCATCCTTGATCGTAACCCCACAACCTCCATGGGTTCCATAATCATTTCCATGTCCTCAGTCAGTGTCGCAAATAGTGAGGGTGAGGGTGTGTGATCTCCGATAGCATGCCTCAATTGTGATACATGGAATACTGGGTGTATCAAAGATGATTTTGGTTAACTTTAGACAATAAGCTATTGCCCCAATGCGCTCTGTCACCTCATAAGGCCCGAAGTAATGTAGAGATAACTTCTTATTCTTCCTCTTGGCTAGTGTCTTCTGCCGGTATGGTCTCAGTTTCAAATAAACTATGTCCCCAGGTTTGAATTGCACTTCCTGTCTGTGTTCATCTAGCTTTTTGTTCATAAGTTATTGAGCTCTCAGTAGATGTCCTTTGAATTCTTCTAATATCCTATCCCTCTCTTTCAATCACTGATCTACATTGGATACTGGTGTAATGTTCTGCCCGTAGTGTATCAGATGAGGTGGGTCTCTCCCATACAAAATCTTGAAAGGTGTAGTTCGTGCGGCTGTGTGGAAAGATGTATTGTACCAACACTCTGCCCATGATAACCATTTGGCCCATAGTTTTGGTGTGTTAGATACAAAACAACTCTAGTATGTCTCTATGCTCCTGTTGACCACTTCCATTTGGTTATTTGTCTATAGGTGATATGTCGTGCTCCTTTTTAGGATCATCCCTTGCATCTTGAATAACACCCTCCAAAAGTGGTTGAGAAACTCCTTTTGGAATACTATATATTTTGGAATGGCATGTAAGCGCACTATCTCTCAGATAAAGACTATGGCAATTAATATAACAGTGTAGGGATGCTTCAGCATAATAAAATTGGCATACTTGTTAGTCGATCTACCACCACCAGTATCACAGAATACCCCTCCGACCATGGCAAACCCTTAATGAAGAACATCTTCACCTCCTCCCATACCTTCTCACGTAAAGCTAAGGGTTGTAGTAACCTCCCAGTGCCATAGTCAGATACTTATGCCTCTGGAGCACATCACACCTTGCTACCATATCTTTCACATCCCGACACTCAATATAATATAACTCAGCTGATAATCTGCTGCATGTCTTCTGTACTCCTAAGCACTGTCATGAAACTCTTGCAGTAGCTTGGGAATGTGTCATTAGGTTCGTGGTAGCACAAACCTCCTCTAGTAGAGTATCTATTCCCCCCTTAGAGCATAACCTATATGATTGTCCGGGTCCTTCAACAACTCTTCTCTGATCTTCCCCAGCCCTTCATTTTGCTCTCTCTCCTGCCTCAATGCTTCTCAATCTAAGATCATTGGTACTGACAAGACTGCCAATTGGGGTTCCTCCACACTCCTGGAAAAGGCGTCCGCTGCTTTGTTCTCTAAGCTCGGTCGGTATTGGATCTCACAATCATATCAAGCAACTTGGATAGCCATATATGATGCTCCTCAGTGACCATCTGCTATTCCAACAAAATACTTCAGACTCCTCTGATTTGTCCTGATTATGAAATGTTTCCCCAACATATAGGGTCACAACTTCTGAATGGCCAAAGGACTGGAAGGTGGAAGGGGCATTGGTGAGCCCAAAGGATATCACCAAGAACTCGTAGTGCCCTTTTTTGTTTACTTTAAATAAAACATATGTGTCCTAAAGGCCTTCTTGTGCACATCAGCTACCTTCATTCTTATTTAATGATATCCCGACTTCAAATCAATCTTGGAGAAGATCACTGCTCCAAATAACTCATCCAAGAGTTCATCAATCACTGGAACGAGAAACTTATCTAGCAATGTTTCCTTGTTTAGAGACCTGTAACCCACACAGATCCTCTAGTTGTCATCCTTCTTCTTTACCGACATAATTGGACTGGAAAAAGGACTCACAATAGGCCTAATGATCCTTGCTTCCATCATCTCCTTGATCAGCCTCTCTATATCATCTTTCTGAATTCAGGGGTAACGGTATGATCTGACACTTATAGGAGAGGTGCCCTCTTAGGTTGATGGCGTGCTTGTGCTCTTGTGGTGGTGGTAACCCGACAGATGGCTGAAATACGTCATGATATTATTGTAGAATATGCTGAACCCTCATTGGAATTTCTCTTGCCGCCTATTCCTAGACCCCTTTGTATGCTATGTAACTCCACCAATTACCCCAGGCTTGCACCATGGATCCTAAGCATGATGTTAAGTGATACCATGGTTTTGCATATGCTAGCATCCCCTCAAAGCACTACCTTCTTCCCCTCTAACTGGATCTCCATGGTCAAAGATTTTCGGTTCACTTTCATATCCCTCATGGTCTATAGCTACTTCATCCCCAAAATCACATACATACTTTCCAAGTCCAAGGGAAGGAAATCTTCCACCACCTGAATGTCCCGTAGGGTCATCTCCACCCCTTTACATATCCCCCATCTCTCTATCGTACCCGTCTGCATTATCACCCCACATCCTTCAATCCTCTCCAATTTCAACCTCAATCGGTCCACGACCTGATTCAAGATAAAGTTATGTGTAGCCCCACTGTCCATCAAAACTACCACTGGTTGCTCCCCCGATTTTCCCTCTCACTTTCATGGTATGATTTGTAGTAAATCCGATCACAGAGGTCAAGGACACTTCAGTCACATCTAAATGTAACTGCTGCATTTCTTCATGACATCCTCCAGCTTGTCCTCGCTCTTCGCTTCGCCTTCAAAGACCATCATAACTTGAAGGGCTCGATTAATTCACTTATGTCCTGGTGTAAACCTCTCATCACACTTTAAGCATAGCCCTTTTTCCCTCTTGTCTTTTACCTCCACTTCTATAAGGTGCTTGAAATTGCCTCTAGGATGAACTCCAATGCTCTTCTCCTTTAACACCTTCCTCTGAAATGATAGTTTGAGTCCTCGATGCTAGGGTCGTGGAGGTATTCCTCTAAGCCCCTCCCATGATGCTGCTCTGGTTGGCTTTTTTTCTTTAATGTTTCTCTTCCACCCTTTGTGCTAGCTCCATCATCTCCCTCAACCCCATAGGCCTCAATACCTTGAGCTTTGCTCGTATGTCTTCCTTCTATTTCTTCTTGAAATTCACTTCCAACCATTCTTCAGAAATTCCCCTTAGCCTACTCGATAGTTGCTCAAATTTCTCCCAATACTCCCTGACTGTCCACTCCTAAGTTAAGGCATAAAACTGCTCATTGAGGTCTCCTTCCTGAATGGCTTAGAAATGTTCCTATAAACACTCCTTAAATTCTCCCCATGAATATATTGGATGCCTTGCCTCCCTCCATTGAAATCAAGCTAAGGCTTTGCCCTCCAAACATAGCCCCGACGTCATGAGCTTTTCTTCTTTCATCATTCAATTGATAGTAAAGTAACGCTCCAACCAATACACCCATCCTTAAGCATTTCGCCTTAAAAAATCAGCATTTTTAACTTTCTTGATCTCACACCCATACCCCAATGGTTCCTCACTCCATTAGTTCCTCCCATGTAGTGATGGTGCAATTCTCTCCCTTCCTCACTTGGCTGATTTGGACCCCATGGCTCGGCCCAACCATAGCCTCCTATGATCCACCTCCCCCCATGTCTTGGTGTTTTCCCAAAGCGTTTGGCCTCCCCCCTTCTTGTTGTCCTTTCTTTGAAATGCCCTAATCCATCTCCCATCAGAGCCCCCCATGGTGGTCTATGACGAAAACACTCTCCACTTCATCATCGTCCTCTTGAATTTCCTTTATGTTTGGTTCGACCCTAGGAATTGTCTGTGAAGCTTTTGACTGCATTTGGATCATCTTTTTCATCATATCATCCAAGTTCTTGAAGCGGTTCTCTATAGATGAGAGCTTTCCTTCCATAGTTGAGAACTTCCCCTCCATTCCACTTTATTTCTCCTCCATTCTGGCCTTAAGTTGTTCCATCTCACCTTCCAATGCATACATCTTCTTTGTTGTCATTTACCTCGCTCTGATACCAATTTGATATGCATTTAAAGTAAAATCAGCGAAGAAATAGTAGAAATATGCTGGATTACTTGAAGCAATGGCTGGTTTTGGATTATCCTTCAAAGCAAAAAGAACAAGATACATGTGAGCTACAATTAATCAGATCTCCCAAACAGTCTATATGCGGCTAGGAGTCTCCAAGAAAAGAACTACAGTAGAAAATCAAAATATATATAATGAAGATAAGCAACATAACTAGCTCTAAATAAGCTCTCTCTAATTCCCCCAAAAAAGATCCTTTTTCCTTAATTAATTCGCTCTTCAATTTGAATTCAAAAAAAAAAAACCCCTCTCTATTCCTCCTCCCAACATAATAAATTATTACTTAGTTGGGCCCCACAAAGGGGGCCGACACCTCCCTCTCCCTGGTTCGGTGTTTGCTGAACCGGTTAGCTAGGTCTCATCTCGCACCCCCCCCCCCCCCCCCCCCCCCCCCCCCCCCCACCCTCCCCCCCCCCCCCAACCAAACATCTTATTAATCTGCCCATTACATCTACATTACAAGCCCTTTATTATAAAGGAAATTCTTGTAGACTCAATTTTCTTTTTAATTACTTCAAGAACTGCTAATGAATTCCACCGTTCAATATCCTGAGATCATTCAATATCCTAGATCATTGAAGTTTAGTCGAGAAAACTTCTCTGTCAAGGTTTTGGGCTTCGGTAATACATTATGCGTGCATGTGTCATCTCTAAAATTGTAGCTCCTTTATCCTGTCACTCGTACATAATTATCTAACACTCAAAATTTTAATATTATATACCTACCACTCTTATTATTTTAGTATTAAATATACCACTTATATTTTTTCCTACCACTCATATATTTCATTTCTATCACTCATATTTGATATGAAAATGAACTATGGGTGATATGTATGTAATATTAAAATTTTAGGTGTTAAATATGTAAATAGAGTAGTATAGGATGATATGTATGTAAATCTCCCAATTATCTAATATTCACTTGGGGTAAACTTATTGGTGATGATGATATTAACTGATGTTGACGCATTCACCAAAATATCCCCAAAAATGAATCCATTAATTAGGAAGTCCGAAGTTGTAACTGAGGCATTGTTGGTATGGTTTGGGCTGGATTTAGTTTTTGTTTCGTTGATAGCAAATTATTGACCTTAAGAATAAAATAATGTTTGATCTCTTTTACAAATTTTCCCTAACGGAGTATAATTATGCTATGTGCTTTTAGATAAAGGTGAAGTGTTTTCTTGGGGCCATGGAGGTCATGGTCAATTGGGTCATAGTTCCATTCAGATCCAGAAGGTCCCAACCGTCATTGAGGCATTGGCTCAGGAACATATTACGTATATTGCATGTGGTGGTTCATCTTCAGCTGCTGTTACCGGTAAGGATTATTCTTTAGAGTTACTCGGTGTGAGCCACTACTGTGTTAGTTGCATGATATTCAATTTGAGTTCAAAATTAACAAGCAAAAGCTATTATGGAACATTACTACTGACTTTGTTTATGCTTGAATTTATGTTTTTCTTGTATTATATTAGAAACCGACGGAAAATTATATTCATGCTTTGTAATTTGCAAAGTCTTATATGGGGTCCTGGTTGGATATCCATTGGGTACCCATGCTCTGCGCGAGCGGGCTTCGCCCACCCATGGTGACTTCTTGGATGACGTATCCACCCATACCCATCCACTTTCCACGCTTTTTGAATGCAGTCCACAACGGATTAATAGCCTTGAAGCTTGTTGCCCTTTGCTATGATTGGGAGGATTGCGGTAATATATGACATATGGTGATTAGCAATGTAAATCTGTTTAGCTCCCGATCTTGAGTATTCACCCATACTCACCCACGAGGTCATGGGTGTACTCATATATGGGTGAGTACATTGGTGGGTGTGGGTATAAGTACCCAATGCGGGGCTTCGATAATTTGCATTCGGTCACTACTCCATGTATGAATGTCTTGAAAGCATCCCCAACAAATTTAGAAAGAAGGATTTAGGTTTTTCCATTAACTCCTAATTAGCTCTTCCTACAAGTATATACTTATTGTTTGCGATGGGCCACCATAGAGCCAAAACTAGGTTCTAATATAGAATTCATAAGGATCTTTAATATCATGCCTCAAAGTAGTATTCAATATCTTAATTAATTCACGACACTACTATATTATGTTGACATATAATGAACGAATATATTTTGACCGTTTTGTATGTTATGCTTTTAGTCATAGCGATACCATGCATGCTGTATTACTACATTTGTGATTCAAATGAGAACAGGAGATTGTTTGACTTCCTTCTGTGCTATGATAATTTTATTTTGTTCTTTGTTCAATATACTGTTAATATTTCATGATTAATAAGCCGGATCTATTAGTCTCCATCTTATTGTTACACTGTTGGCAACATATCAGATAAGGGAGTGTTATACATGTGGGGAAATGCAAAAGACAGTCAGCTGGGAGTTCCTGGGCTTCCTGACGTTCAGCCATTACCTGTCCAAGTGAAATTCCTTATGGATGAAGAGCGATTGGGTTCCCATCAAGTGCTTTCAGTCTCAGTTGGTGCATCTCATGCCATTTGCTTGGTTTTGAGGCAATCCATCCCTTGAGGAATTTGAAGAGGCTCCTTTTATTTAACTGAGAGACCAGGCTTAAAGATAGTATCCGTTTTGAAAAAAAAATGAAGCCTCCTGCTCTTTGTTGTTGATATCAGAACCAGAAAATTCTCTCAGCAATATATTCTGCTAAGAAGATTAAGGTTTCGTTTGGGACGGTTTTCTTACTGTTTTTTAAAGCAGTTTTTTTATTACAAAATTTTTAATTTTTTTACGAAAAAGCTGTTTTAAGAATTAATAAGAAAGCTGTCCCAAACGACAATAGACGCGACAGGTGAAGGTATTCTGGATTAAAAAAAATCACAGTTCAGTGAGGAGTTAAAGCACAGTTAAGCTTTTTTTTTTTAATTATTATTATTTTAGAGAGATGGAGTTCTTTGGCTCCTTGGTATTGTCTTACTTAGACAAATCATTGAGGTAGACTGTTGCCTGTCGATGTAGGCAAGCTTATTTATTTACTGTGAATCTACAATCATAGAATCTTGCTTGAGCTAGGATTAATCTTGATCAGCATACATCAATGAAGCTTTGATTGACCATTTTATTGGTTTTATTTTTTATTTTCAATGTTTGATCCGTCACTTTTTTGATATTAGCTGTGGACTTTCTGTGCAGATTAAGGTTTTGTTTGGGACGGTTTTTTTCATACTTCCTAAAGTAACTTTTTATTAAAAAATTAATTTTTTTTTATTAAAAGTTGCTTTAAGAAGCATGAAGAAAACCGTCTCAAGGCTTCGTTTGGGACGGTTTTCTTACTGTTTCTTAACACAGCTTTTTAGTACAAAAATTTAGAAAGCTGTTTTAAGAAGCATAATAAAGCCGTCCCAAATGAAGCCTAATTCTTGATATTATTATGTCCTCATTGATGACCTTATTGTTTTGAATAACTTAAATATGGTAGATAAAATTATCAATGTATCATACTCTAAGCTCTTATTTTCAAAAAAATTCTTCTATTGTTTTGAGTTTACATTTATTTCAGAGATTGTTTCACTTGTAGCATTTGTTTTCTTGGCTTTGATTATTTTTTTGTTTGCACAATACACAAAGAAAAAAAAAGAAAGATATGATGATGATGATTAATGGAATCCTTTCTTAATTATAGATTTTCAGTTACTTGTCCACCACTTCTAGAGTTCTAATGCTAGTCAATATTTAGGCTTCGTTTGGGACAGCTTTTTTATTGCTTTCTAAAACGGAGTTTTAGTTAAAAAATAAAAAAAAAATGTACTAAAACTCCGTTTTAGAAAGCAATAAAAAAGCCGTCCCAAACTGAGGCATATCTTTTCTCTTAAATGTCCACTTACCCTTTTCATTTAGTTCTCTTTCATAGCTTTTCAACAAATAAAATAATTTATAAATATTATATCATTGTTCTTTATTTTTTTTATTAACTGTTGTCTTCATGATAGAACTTTCTTGTATAAAATTAGATTGATTATTTTTATCAAATTTTATATTTATTTTTATCAATGGGTTTTTATATGCTTTTGTTCCAAGAATAATAGATTGATGAAAAAGAAAAAGAAAAAGAATAGAGCAATAGTTTAGTGATTAATGCAACCAATGTTGATTTGTTTGTTGGGAGTTTTACTAATCAAGAGGTTTGGTGTGGATGAATTTGTAATTTAATTTTTTTATTAAATTTGGAGAATTGGCTTTGCAGCTCCACTGTGCTCCGCTCTCTATCTTTATGTTAAGATTATAGTCATGCATTGCTGCATCCTAAGACGCTAGAATGTACAAGTATATATAGCTACAACGCTTTAATGACAGCGCCACAATGCTCTACGGCTGTACGGAAAAATTTCCTTGGGCCAAGGCCCTCGTACCCTAAGTAGGGGAGCGTTGCGTCCCCTATAACGCCCTGACAAGCTCAACTAACAAAATTGAGGATTGAGTCAACAATATAATCTGATTGATCGACACAAGAAAATTCCACACAAACTAACATTATATGCAATATTATGAGTTAAAGTTCTTCAAACTTATTATATCAACGGATAATTTGATTATATACGCCTCATAGCAAATGTCATGGAAAAATATTACAATTATTTATTATTTAAAAAAATATACTTGAAAAGTTATCTCATATAATTTTCTCCTACTTATATTCATAAACTATATATTGAAACTCGCTACAAAATAAATTAATTTGAACTAATTCTAAATTATCAATATTGATGAGACTTGTTGAATAAAGATTAAGTATTAAAATAAATAGGCAAATAATATTAAATCTTAATTCTCTCAAGATTTGTTAAATACTTAAATCTGAATTTACGGAATTTTTCAAATTTTATTTGAATTAAATCCTGCTCCGGATTCTAGAGGAACTGGACCGGACTCGCGTTCTTAAAAGCGCGTCTGCGCGGTGAGGGTCAGCTTGTCATCGGTGCTAACGGTTTTCCCTCTTCCGCGGTCGCCTCTCTCGATCGCTTCGCGCTCCTCTTTGTCTCCGGGAGAGAGAGCTATATAGGTAAGGAGGCGAGAAAGGGGAGATAGCAGGGAAGAGACATTTATAGAAAGGGAGATACAAAGCTTTTCTTTCCGCCAGTAGTTCAGTACTTACGATGATGGACGATGTCAGCGCTTCTGCGGCGGGGTCGAGTTCGGGATCAGGAGACCGGAGGAATTCCAAGAGACCCAAATGTATGTTTTTTCGTTCGATTTCTTTTGGTTTCTTTCTTCATACAACGCTTTTCATCTGTTAGGTTTATCACCAACAATAAATTTTGAATTGATATAACGTTATTTTGTGCTCTCCGTTTCAGATTCGAGGTTTACTCAGCAGGAGCTTCCAGCCTGCAAGCCGATTCTCACCCCACTATGGGTGCGTTTCGCACAAGCCTGAAATTTCTTACAGCAAGCTACGAATTATTTCTGATTCAGCACCTCCTATCTTTTGCAGGTTATCTCATTGTTCACTTTGGTTGGCATAATCTTCATTCCTATTGGCCTAGCTTCGCTGCTTGCTTCCAACGATGTAATAATGGATTATTTTCTATGGATCTTTGACCAGATTTTTATGTTTTCCTGACAAAATTTCCCACTTTTAGGTTGTTGAAATTGTTGATCGGTATGAAACTGCCTGCGTTCCACCCAGCATGATTAATGATAAGGTTGGGTACATTCAGAATCCAGCCATCAGCAAAGCTTGTGCTCGGGTGCTCAAGGTAGGCTTTGCAAAGTGCCTTCCTAGAAATTATTGTTGATTTTAAAAGAAAATTACAATGTGCAAAATAAGAGATAATAATTATACCCTTTGATGTTTTATGGTAATGATACAATAATTTTTTTTTTTTTAGTTAATTCATTGGGCTTTAAATTATTAGGATCAGTAAGGAAAGGAACAGCAAATGCAAAATAGCACATTTATTTGCTGCACTTACCTTTGAGAAGAAGTTTTATTATTTCATTGAGTGGTGGTTTTCTTATTGGAAATGGGGTTTTGTAGATGAAACTCAGAGCCTTTCCTTACAGCAATAGTTTTCTTCCAAGGTTGTAAACCAATAATCTTCTTCCATGGGAGTTTCTTTCACTGATAGAATTACAAAGCATAATACCAGTCTTCCCTCTTGCAGGTACCCAAGGACATGGACAAGCCCATATATGTGTACTATCAGCTTGATAACTTCTATCAGAATCACAGGAGGTATGCACAAAGACCTTGTTTTTGGTATTTAAATGGAAGTAATCATTTGTTGGTCATATTTCGAGCATAGTTTATATACACAGATCTTTGGTGCTTATTAAGCACTTTTTGTGCTAGTTTGGATCGCTGTGCCATATGTATTTAAGCTGGTAGGTTAGAATCTTTAAAATTTTAGGTCCATGACATTTCATTTTTCCATACAATGATATCACTTTTAGGCTTAGTTTGATTAGGCGTTTTTGGTGCTTATTCTTTTTTAAAAACGTAAATTTATTATTTGGTTCCTCAAACCACGTTCTCAATAACACCATTTTTTTTTCATTTTTCTGTGGTTTTAAGAAATCTTTTTATATGTGCTTCTCCATTAGAAAACTCATTTCTCTGAACCGATGTTTCTTAAAACTACCATTTACAAAAGTGTCGGATAACCAAACGAAGCCTTAGAGATGTAAGTGTATGAAAAGTGAAATGAGTAGTTTGATTTTGGAAGAAATTATTCTCATCTTTAATTGCTAATAAAATTCAGGTATGTAAAGAGCCGAAATGATAAGCAGTTGAGGGATGCTAGCAAAGCTTATGAGACAAGTGGTTGTGACCCGGAAAAAACCACTGTAGATGGAACTCCTATTGTTCCTTGTGGGCTTATAGCATGGAGTTTGTTCAATGATACATACAGCTTCACCCATGGCAATGGTGAATCATTGATTGTGAACAAGAAGGATATTTCCTGGAAGAGTGACAGGGATCACAAGTTTGGATCTGATGTGTATCCCAAAAACTTCCAGAATGGAGCTCTGATAGGTGGTGGAAAGCTTGATTCTAAGAAACCTGTACGTATTTTACTGCATTACAACATGCTCTTAGTGTTTTATGTAGAATATATAGCGATTCAAAACTTTCTGTTTAGAGTCTATCGTTTTTTCTCTTAGAATAATATCATTGTTGCAAATGAGGAAGCTTTTTTAACTTATTATATTACCAATAACCATCATTGCTTTATTATGTTTTGCAATTCTGTCCTTCAATAACAACTATAGTTCGTTTTTCCTTACTGCTGATTGCTTTCAATTCGGCATGGGATTTCAGTTTATGGATAGTTAGGCGTTCTATTTAGATTATTTGGTAAGAAATGTGATTTTTAATTGATATTGTATGTAGAGTGTCAAAGTGAACTAGTTCTGTTCTAGACTTCTAGTTTAACATCAAATTGACCCTGAGCCATTAATGTGTCATGGCATGTAGTTGTATTGGATTTAGTCCAAAATCTTATAAGCGAAAAATATATTGGTTTTGAAGCACCTATTAGTTTGCCCTCTCCCATAAACTTAAGTTTTTGGGTTGAAAGGTTCAACTTTGCTCCCTATTTGGTCCACAATCTCTATCAAGTATCAGAATTGATGGTTCTTGTATATTAAGTGATTCATGTGGTTTGTGATTGTGATAGGAAACACTTGAAGATCTCAAGTAATTCCTATCAATCTTTAGAAAACAACGAAAATCCTCCAAAAAAAATCTGCACAAAATCATGAAAACCGTAGATAATTTGTATTATTTGATGAAAGGGAAATAAAAAAATTGCAAGATACAATTGATCCTCTATTCGAGAGGATGATCGACCTCTCCCAAATCTCTAGAGGCCGCTAGAGCCCAAAAGAAAACCTAAATCTAAGAAATCTAAAATTTCAACCAAATTCCAGATGTCCTAACCCTAAGAAAACAAACTATTTAATGCATACAATTCAAAAGGAAATCTCTAAACAATCCCTACATTCAAATTGCCCTCCCAAATCCCTCAAAAAACTTTCCTAAATCTCTCCGCTTGGGCTTTTGGATTGCCCGATCTCCGCAGAAGACAGAGATACTGCCTCTGTTTTGCAAGTCAGTCCTGTATGGACCAAATGGACTGGTCCAGTGGACCGGTCTAACATATTATTACTAATCTTGATTATTTGCTGGCTCTATGGAATTACCAATTTAATCAATTTCTTGAAGTGATCTCAAATTGCTAAGCTTCTTTCTATGCGCTAAACTATAATGAAATTCATAGATACCTTACTGTAACTCTAGATTTGAATTCGTAGTATTATTTTAACTGTCATTCCTATTCTTGACAGTTGAGCAAGCAAGAGGATCTCATTGTGTGGATGCGTACTGCAGCCCTTCCAACCTTTAGAAAGTTGTATGGAAGAATAGAGATGGATCTCAAGGAGAACGACATCATTACTGTGAACTTAGAAAACAACTACAACACATACAGTTTTGGTGGTAAGAAAAAACTTGTGCTTTCAACCACATCCTGGCTTGGAGGAAAAAATGATTTCCTTGGCATTGCATATCTCTCTGTTGGTGGATTGTGCTTCTTTCTTGCAACAGCCTTCACTGTTCTATATTTGGTAACGCCTAGGTAAGTCCTGCAACCATTTTCTATGTCTTGTATACTGAAGAAAATTTCTGTTATCTTTATTTCCTCCTAATTTTACAGGAAACTTGGAGATCCTTCATTCTTATCATGGAACAGAAATTCGGGAATTCAGTAGATTTATATGCTGGTGGCCAGCCCTGTTTGTTCGTTCTTGTGTATATCATTTCTATATTTTTAAAATTATATGATTCTGTATATTTGAAGACAATTTGATATTGTGAATGTGTAATTAGCTGAGAATTCTTGTAAGTTTATCATTCTTTCTGCAGAAAAATGTATGAATTTTATTTTTGATAATATTCTGCTAGCTTTTGATGCAGTTTTGGTGTTCCAAATAGTAACTGAGCTTGCAAATGTTTAACCAAATCTCCCTAAACTCTGACTGAAGACTTAGGCTTCGTTTGGGATGACTTTCTTTCTGCTTCTTAAAATAATTTTTTAGGATAAAAGTTAAATTTTTTACGTTAAAAAGTTGCTTTAAGAATAATTTTTGTGCTAAAATATTGCTTTAATAAGCAATAAGAAAATTATCTAAAATGAAGCTTTAAGATTTAGTTTGAAACAATTCTCTTATTGCTTTTTAAAATAGTTTTCTAACAAAAATATTTTATAATAGGAAACAACTTTTATTGTTTAAATTTTTCTCTTATTTTGACTTTTCAAAAGTTATTTTAAACTTGATTATAAAATTATCATCATTAACCTTATCCTATTTTTATTTAGCATTATGAGTTCTTATTTTTCATGTCAAACTAATTTTTTATAAATATTTTTGAATTTTTATTCACGTGATTTTGATTCTACTTTTTTTTTTTAATTCATGACACCAATTTTATCAATTAATTTATTGTATATATTTAAACATTCTAAATTTATTTTTTAATTAATTTATCTTTAATAGTTACACTTTTAATATTTTATAATTACTTTTTAATTTTATTATACATATAATTTAAAATCTATTTTTATCTTCCTAATCCTATGAGATTATTTTTTAGCTCCAATGAATATTTTCTATCATTCATTATTCATATTCAAATTATTTTATGTATTATTAATCATTTTATTTTCAATAAATATCATTTTATTTTTTTCTTGAAATATTAATTATTTTTTAGTTTATCCCTTCTTATCTTATTATAATCATTCTTGAAACTTTTTACCTAATTTAAACTTAGTTGTTTTATATTCCTATTTCCCCCTTCTTAATTACTTGTCTATTACCTTGCTTTGCTAACCATCCTTTTTTATATCATTTTAACTTTCTCATAATTATTATAAATCTGAAGAATATTCACTTTTTATCAATTCTGAAAATAATTTTTTCTTAATAATTTATATTGAAAATGTTAATTATTATTCTAATTTATAAAAGAAGGAAAAGTGATTCTCCTTGTATAAAATAAATGTCATCAACAAAACTAGAATTATAGGGAGTTTTATACAAAATTCTCTCTAAGGAATGCGTTAGGAACCTTTCATAGTACTCTCAGCAAGTAATTGGTGAGGTATGCTCCTTCTGGGTATGATGGATCGATTGGATGATCACAAGCTGCTCCTGCATGGCGTAGCACTGTTATCTTTCTGCCCGCCATTGTTGCAGCTCCCTGATTACAAGTTATTCAAGAAAATAACTGAGTCTTTGATAGACTTTACAGAACATGAAAAATAAAAAATAAAAAATAATCTGACTAAGAAAATGAGCTATATTTGTGATACAATCAGTAAGTCGGTAACATATAAGCTTTACTGAATAACAAATGTTGGTAAGCTTGGATGGGGCAATCCAATACTGAGCTCAGAGAGTTCCAGTACCAATTAACACATTACTTGCAGCTTGAAAAGCCTAAAAGTTACTATTGGATCATTGAACTTCTTTATGTTGATCATGTTTCTTACAGGAAACAATTAGCAGGCAATATTCTGATGGCAAGTACTTGAATATTTTAAGTAAAATCCAACACTATTGGTAAAAATAGCAAAAACAGTCCACAACTTCAATGAAAAACAGCAAAAACCCGTAATTTTATTGAAAAATCTAAGAGAAAACACTTGAAATTCACTAGTAGAAAAAGAAAAACAGCAAGATATAATTGATCCTCTATTCGAGAGGAGGATCAATCTCTCCCAAATCTCTAGACGGATCTAGAGCCCAAAACCTAAACCTAAGAGATCCAAAATTCAGCCAAATTCAAGATGCCATAACCTTAGGAAAACAAACTATTTAATGCATACAAATCAAAAGGAAATCCCTAAATAGTCCATACATTCAAATTTCCCTCCCAAAACCCTAAAAATCCTTCCTAAAATGTTCCTTTGACTCTTGCAGTCCGAAAGACAGCCGAAGGGGTGGAAATCTTCAGCCTCTGTTGCACTGGGACGGTCCCGTGCGGACTGGTCTAACATATTCCCACTAAAAACAGGCACTTTCAAGGTCCCATTAGTCAGTGGTAGGTGCAAATTCAAAATGATCTTTAAACTTTTTATATGCACCAATTTTAATATTTAACTTTTCTAAGTATTCAATTTAGTTCATTAACACATTAAAGCTGAATCAATTTGAACATGCCATTAACTTCACCATGTCTTTGGATGGGAATTAGTGAAGGTAAGCTTTTCCTGAGGATATCTTAGGCTTTTGGGGTCACACTCAATAGTTTGTGGTATGGAAGGATGAGATTAAGGATAGTTTGTGGTATGGAAGGATGAGATTAAGGTTTCGTTTGAGACTGTTTTTTTATTTTTTTCTAAAGCAACTTTCTAGTACAAAAAGTTCTAATTCAAGATATTTTTTGCACTAAAAAATAGCTTTAATAAATAATAAGAAAGCTGTCCCAAACGAAAGCCTAATAGTAAAAAGTTCACAATGCTCTTATGATGTAGTGGATCGTCGGAAGATTCGACCTGCAAGAAGGATTTTTGGCTCCCAATCCAGGGAAGAAGAGAAACAAGCTTCAAAAGCTTTAAAATGAGCTAATATTTCATTCAATGTCCTCCCTATTACAAAAACCTCCTATTTATAAAGCAAAAAGAGAATTCTAGAAGCTCATTCTAACAAACTTAGATAAGGTGTCCTAGGGAACACCATAAGCATAAGATGCACCGCATCATTCTCCCCTAGCAAAAAAAAAGGCTTGACTCCGTCGAGACACATTATTGACAAAGAAGTTGCAGAAGGCAGATTCCCGGATCGAAGACTTTGAATGCGGTCTTTAAAATTACCACATGAAGAGGTTTTCCCCAATCCAAGTGAGGAGGTTCAACTTTGGAGTCCTTGAAATGAACTAGCATTTTAGTTTGCCAATTGGTTGATGAATATGAGTTCTCGGCACATAACCAATCCCTTCCCCAAATTCCACAAGATAGAGAGGCGAGCACATTCTCCCATTTAGTTTTGTCCCATTCCTCTTCTTCAAAGTTGCTGAATGCACAAACCCATTTTTTAAGATTAAATTCCTTTATCATTTCATCTTCATAGACCTGTTGCAATAAAGTTGTGTTTCCCATACCACCATTCGGTCCATGCCTCCTTATAGATAGAGTAAAAATGTTTATGTACAATTCAGCTACAGAATGCTCAATTGATGGCTTTCTTAACCACTGCATAACAAGCTCCTTATCCCTGCCCTTGAGATCAGTAAAATGGAGGAGAGAAGAAATACCGCCAGGCCTCATGTCGAGCTCCTTGATTCCTTGCTCCTCAATAGTGGTAGTGGGGCCATAAAATGTAAGTTTCCCATTTTCCTTGCTTCTGTAAGCAGGGTCTGACAGTTCAAATTTGAGATCCCAGCCCTTATTGACATTTCGTCGAACATCTTGTGAGCATTGAAGTGAATAAGCTTTGTTATTAATGATATCTAAGCATTTGACACAACAGGCACCAATGCCATCTACTGTCAACGAAACAAAATCTAACGCCCCACTTAGCCGCTGAACAACAACTCCAAGAAAAGCACGTCCAATTCCATGAGCAAGTCCTAAAAACCCATGTTGTCTAGCATTCTCAACAGGCTTTGTCAACACCACTGTCACACCAAAAGCTACACCCTGTGCAAAAGCTTCAGTTCCTTGAAGAAATCCATAACCAAAACCAGTATTCCTCCTCGACCAAACCTGTTTGGAGCGCAACTGCAAAAACTGTCGATCTGTTGAAAGCTCTGCAAATCCTTTACTGAGAGAGGCCAAAGTTGATCTTGTCATGCTCAATACGTCCACATAGAATATTATATGTAAAGGGTTCTGAATAAGGTCTTTTTTGACACGATTCACAATAGAAGAAAGAATGGAGCTTTTCCTCATGAACCGACTTCGATGCATGACTTTCCTCCTTAAATGAAGAAATCCTTCATTCAGCAACCTTTTAGTATCATCTGGACCACTGGTGAACAGGAGCCAGCCCTTCGTGTCAAGATGCTGAGTGATGCTTCCAGTAAAAGTGTTTTTCCTAAGTTGTATCTCCACCGGTCCCGTGAATGTGTTCTTTGGAAGGTCCATCGATTGAAGGCTTTGCAGCTGATCAAGCTCCGATGGAAGCTCTCTGGTAAGATCGTTCACCTGCAGCAAGATTGTGTCGAGGTTCTCAAGCTTACCAATCTCAGATGAGATCTCGCCGGTGCGGCCACAGTAGGCCTTGTCTAGCCGTATTATCTTCCTACGGTTCTCGATCTCCAGAGGGATCCAATCCTTGTAGTTGATAAAGTACCCTATGAGCTGAGCAGAAGTTGCCTCGACGGAGTCGAAAATAGTAGCGGAAGTTACTTCATGGGTTTCTAGATCGCAATCGCCATGTCCGTGGTCGCCATGTCCGTCCTGCTCGACGGCCTCGGGTGGAGCACGTTGGAGGTGGATCAACGAGTCCGGCATCGGATCGAAAGGGATCGTGTCCCGGGATTGTTGATGTGCACTACTCTGCAGGATTCCGTCAGCGATTGTAGGATGTGTCTGGACCGGGGTTTGCGGAGCGAAGCCGTCATCGTTGGACGATGTCGGGTCGGGATGTGGAAGATGAGTCGGATGATGGAAGGCATCGGTCACAGGCGCATAGAGAGTCATGGGCGGGCTTGGTCTGGTAGCTTGGAGCACGGGAAGGTCCGCCGGTCGGTCGAGAGATAAAGCAGAGGCAGAACCGGAATCGGATCGTGTGAGATCAGGTTTGACGCCAAGAGCGAGGTTGCGAGGGCATAGTGGGAGTGGGGGTGGGAGCTCTGTCTGTGCGGGCGGCAATGGCGGAGTGGCAGCGGTGGGATCGGGTTGAATGTCGGAATCGGACTGGTGGCGAGAGTGAAGATGGATGCGAGGGTTCTGAAGGCGATTGCCAGTGTGGTCGGGATGAGTTAGGAGACGGAGGATGTTGGAACGGAGGGGGGTCACGCCACCGGAGCGGGAGTTCGAGCGGCGGATACTCCAGCGGCGGATCATACCATCGGAGAGGAAGTAAAAGCGGAGGGTAATCATTAACGATGGTGGGAGAATGGAGGGACTGATGGCGTCTGCGAGGAGCGGAGGAGGAAAGCGAAGAAGAAGAATACCTCGGTATGGTTGCCGAAGACATTCTCATCTTCCTTATTGCCCGAAGGTTTTCTCTAATCAGATCAAGGTTTTTGTCTACCCGATCGAGTGATTCCTTCGATTGGGCTTGATAGAAGGCAATCCGGCTGCGAGCCTCGTCGACAGCCCACCTTCCTTGGCATCGATCGTCGTCGACCGCCAATCTCATTCTGCAGCTTCGATCGTCGTCGACAGCCGACCTTCTTCCGCAGTCCATCGATCTTCATAAGCTCCAGGCTCTGATACCAACTGATGTAGTGGATCGTCGGAAGATTCGACCTGCAAGAAGGATTTTTGGCTCCCAATCCAGGGAAGAAGAGAAACAAGCTTCAAAAGCTTTAAAATGAGCTAATATTTCATTCAATGTCCTCCCTATTACAAAAACCTCCTATTTATAAAGCAAAAAGAGAATTCTAGAAGCTCATTCTAACAAACTTAGATAAGGTGTCCTAGGGAACACCATAAGCATAAGATGCACCGCATCATCTTATGAAATATTCTTTCCAATTTGTGTCCAATGAAATAACAAAGTTGATAGTAGGATTAAATTGATTTATATTTGATAAGTTGAGATACTAAATAAAATGCTTGATAAGTTTTGGGATTAAAATGAACTTACTTTTCATTAGATTTCATGCTTCTCTTTGCATGCACATTACTATGCAATACCATCGTTTGCAGTGTGGGCTTTTTTTAGGCCGGTTCTTGCTGAACCAGTCGAACAGGCCCCATGGCATTGGGCAGACTCATGTATACAGGAGGCGGACCAAGCATGTCCCCCCCCCCTAGGAGTTGCTGCCCAAGGGTCAAGTGGACCCCACTAGGAAATCCGTTAAGGAAGGAAGAGGTGGCTAGGGTTGGAGGGAAATTTTGAATTAGGTATTTGAAATTTGTTTTTTAGGTATTTGAATTTATGTATTAAATAGAAAGAGATGTTTAGGGTTAGGGTTATGATAATTTGCGGCTGATTTGGTGTCTTTGGTTCTTGGCATCTTGGGCCTTAGCTTCGTTTAGGGATTAGGAGAGATCGATCCTCCTCTCGAATTGAGGATCAATTGTATTTTGTTATTTTCTTCCGTTAGTTTAAATTCGGCAATAAAAACTACTGTTTGTTTGTTTTTCCATTGAATTTGTGGATTTTTCTTGTTGTTTTTGCCTCTACTGCTAGGGCTTACTTGAGATCTTCAAGTATTTCCTAATAGCTTTGCACATTGCTTTATGGTTGAAGATATTCAGTGGAGATAGTTCATGTGTTAGAGGATATAATGAATCTATGACATAGTTGGTGACAATATAGTTGGTGCTGTGAAAATGGGAAAAAGAAACAAAAAATTCCCGAAAGCTTGTGATATATACTGAATGTATGACAATCCATTCACTAAATTTAGGCCCGTTTCTCTTTTCTACCTTAACTCAAAGTAGGAATTATGAAATTTACAGAGCACAAAGAAAAGAAATTTTTATGCACCTCATTTTGATCTAGGGTCAATGCTTTGTGTTCAACCATAAAGTCTTAAGTTTGAGGTCTAACGTATACAGATGTGTGTTTTCAGTTTGAGATTAAATTCACTCAGACAAACTATTCAGAAGTGTTTCCTGGAATACAAACCTCATCTTCTTAAGATATAATCAGTCAAAAAAACTCCTGAAAATATGACTTACCTGAAGGGTTCGTAGAAATAAACCACTTTGAGTCATAGCTCCAGAACAAGAACATGTCATGAGAAGACCACCTCTTTTAGTGATTTGCATTGCTAGCGAATTCAGACTCCTATACATGCCAGATGCACTTTGCAGAACCTGAAAATTGATAGAAACGAAGAGAACATAAACAGTTCAATACATTAAGGAAAGAATGCCGAGTAACAGGAGAAAAACGCTAAGGTTGGATCCAATTGATCAAGACATTTGTGCCACTAAAATACATCAAAAGCATACCATTACTTACTTAGGATCAATTAGATAAAGCAAAAAGAGAGTTAAGAGTGCAACAGTTAATTATAAAAAACAAATATACTTCAGTAAAATTATATTTTGCAGATTAAATGCCACCTATTCAGCAAAAATGGTAAAAATTTGCCATAAAACAACTCTGATTTCTCTAACTGGGAATAATCCATTAACTGATTTGAAACTGAAACTCTCGCAAACATGAGGATTAAGCTAATGCTTTTACATTTGTTTTTAAGAGAAAAAAAAAGAACATATGAATATATCAAATTTGGATCAATAAAGAGATAAATCTAAATAGTGTAGAAGTAGATAAAGACCTTTAGTTACCACATTGCTCAGAATTAACTTACAAGTTACATCTAAGAGAAATACCTTTCGTCGAGGTGCTAGTTTTGGAGGATCCAAAATAACTAAATCCCACATTTCATTTTGGGATACAGCCTTTTTCATAAATTCTACAGCATCTTCTTTCAAAAACGAGACTCTGCCTGGATCAAAATTATTTAATTGAGCATTTTCTTTTGCAAGTTCCAAGGCAGGCAAGGAAGAATCAATGCCTGCACAAACAGGGATGGAATATAAATTTTAGTATAACCAAAAAAAGTTATTAAACAATTCAGGATAACCATAGCAGGATTAAGATATTCTAATGCAATTAATATGATGCATTATAAATAAAAATATCACAAGTTACCAAACAATTCAGCACCTATCTTTAAATAAAAATAGGCAATAGTGATCTTTAAGCCCAATTGATTATGAAATGATTATAAATATTCAAAAAGTTCAGTAAGAATTTGAAAATGATAAAATAAGCAAGCAACTAATTTATTTTCAGAAAATCATATTTCTTCAATATAGCCTTCTGATTAAAACTAATAGCACTAAACTAACTAATAATAAATTACATAGAAGAAATAACATAAAAATGAATTTACAAAAATAAATAATTAACAAAATTAAGCCTTATGTCAGTACAAAGAGATTCCAAGGAATCAGATAGTCACATCTGTACCATAGTCAAAGGAATCACATATCTAATTTGTGCTAACAAGATTGAAACTTAATAGAGAAATTTTATTCGAGCCCAAAATCTGCATTACAAGCCTCAAATGTAAAATTTATAATCATTTGAATTCTATCTTAAAGTTGAAACTTTGAAACATCAAAATCACAGCTCAAACTTTGAATTCCTATCGTGTGAAAAGAAGAATCCAGCATGTCTAGTATATTTCAAGGAATTTTTTTCTAATTAGGTAACATAAAAAACATAATCTAGAATATTTTTTAATCAACTTACAGGAAATGCTAGCTCCATGAAAGCTAGCTACTACAAATAGATGATGCAAGAATGAGCGCTAGCATAAAATTGTTTATAAGCTTGAAGTATTTTACCAATGACATCATCAGCACCCCCTGCTGCTGCATTTAGAGCAAAACCACCACTGTAGCAACAAACATCAAGTACCCTCAGACCCTTTGAGATGGAATGTATGAGGCAGCGGTTCTCACGTTGATCTGCATAAAACCCAGTTTTCTGGCCCTCCAGTGAAACTGTGTAGAATATGCCATTTTCAATTACCTGTAAAGTGGTAGAAGTTAGATGTAAATGATATAGTGACTAAGCAAGAAAACTATGAACAAATTCATACCAAAGGACAAGTGCAGAGTGATGCTTTTATGGAAACTAGTTTCAGCTACTATGAAACATAGTGATGATTCATGAAAGGATGATCAGGTATTCAATTTAACAAGGCAAGAATAATTCCTTCAATTTGCGATACAGAAAGAGAAATATATGTATGGGGTTTGTGCATGCACAAAGAAATGTAGAAAACACACCAATATAATAATAAATAAATTAGAGTGGAAGTATTTTGAACAAAGGAATAGACCAAGGGGAACATTAGCTAAAAAATACTTGATTAGAGCATCTCCAACCGAAAATCCCATTTTCAATCTAAAATGCAGTGAAACTAAAAAATGCCGTGATTCATCTCCAATCGAACTCCATTTTGCGGGCTTCTGTGAAGGTAACCTTCTTTCTCATCTTTGGTGCGTTTCTTCGGCAAATCCGGTTGAGACAGAAAAATCGCGTTGGTGAACAATGCAATGCCAATATTGACATCGCACTGTTCATCCGCAAGCAAATAGTGGAAGATTTGACATTCCGCTGGAGCGACCGAACGATGCCATACGCATGTTTGGCATTCGGTTGGATATGCTCTTATATGGAGTCAATGCCTCTTATAGCACTCAGAAAAAAAAAGAACAGAGAATAAATGATTAATAATTCCATCACCAAAATGTTGGGTTAAGGCTAAAGATAATGATGATGATGATATATGAATAATGTTAAGCTCTATGTTACATTTACCAAATATATGCATGCTGATAGATGTGGTAATTGCAACTTGACAAAGTTACACATATACTGATAATGATAATTGATTCATGAAGGTCTTCTAAATATCTAATTCTCACCTTAACTTTTTCCAAATGAGAACATGCCTTGAAGTTCTTGAGATTTGACACATTCAATCCTTCTTCTTTTAATATGTCAATAGATGGCCTCCAATTAATATGAGATATTGCATTAATCCTACCAATGGATGATTCTACGGCAGGTCTGTATTTCTCAACCCAAGCAGCAGATGAAGCTACAACAGCAATATCACCAAAAACATCAACAATTAAGCCAGACAATCTGCATTCCAGCAATGCAACCATTGTTAAATTCAAGATGATGATGGCCATATTAAGATCCTCAAGGTTCCAGTGTTTACAGCTTATTAATGGTCAGTCAAGGACAGCTCTTGGACCAAAATTCAGCCTCCCTAACCACCAATAGAGGTTGCAGCCACAGTAACGCTAGGATGTTTTCGGACTCCCTAGAGAGGCAAAGGATCCAAACTCGAGAAAGTAGAAGAATGAGCCGATTACTAGTATGCCAATAGTTTAAACATAGTAAACGGTCGGAAAATGTGATAGTTATGGGGGCAGAAGATTGGATGAGCTAGTCCCTGCAAATTAGAACAAGATAAACGATGGATGAAGATGATTTTTTTTAATTTGGTGGAGGAATTAGACCTGTCCCCTTCGCTATTGACAAGACGATAAGCATTTGTATCAGCTGATGGAAGCCCTAAACTCCTCCTTAATTTAAGGGCATCATCTAACCTTCTTTCAAGCAGTTTTTCCACATCTAATGCACAAGATGCATCCCTGAGAGAAAGAAAACATAAAGAAATGAATATCATTACAGCAAGCACAACCCTGAACGATTAATGAAGCTCATATATGATAGCATTTGTTGCACGTAAGGAAAAAAATATTATTCCAAAGCTCCATCAGAATAAGGTAAAGCCTTTAGGACAAGAAATTCTCAATGTTCAACATGTTATCTATTAAGCCAAGCAGAAGGAGTAGAAGGCACGCATTTAATCAGCACAGTCCAACCAAATTGCCAGGGATGGTTAAGTCACTTAGGAAAGTAAAGTTATTTCTGATCAACAATTCACTCATTGGCGTTAGCGTTCAACTCAAGCTTTGTTTACCTTATTGCCTCGTCTTCTAGCTGCATAAGGCGAACGCAGAACATGGATGTCGAATTGTATAGACCCCATCCAATCGGTTTCTCAGATCCATCAGAGACCAACACAACATCTCCAGTTATTGGTGGTGGTCGGCCAATTATTCTGTCAACAGCGCCGCTGTAAACCATGGGACTTCCATCTTTGAAAAGCTGGGTCTTCCCCTTCTTCAATATTACTTTTGCCAAACCTAAGGTAAAAAAGAAGAAAATCGTTAGCAGCAATGGATCCAGGCTCCCTTCACTGGAAAATATACTTTTGAAGATTATAAGAGTTCCAAAATCACATTTTTCCTAAATCTTCCAGCATTCAGAGTGGAAAGCCGAAAGCTTTCGAGTGAGCGGCTCATGTCTTCCCCTAGTCCTCACAGGCAAATAATCAAACAAAATGCAGGCTGAGCTTGTATGCTCGTTGCCTTCTCAGTTTTCACTGTCAATGTGCTTTCTTGAAACAAATTAATATAAACAGTTCATACATTTACAAGCTGGTAACCGACTTAAATTGATCGCCACAGTAAGTAAGCTGAGTGTGGACAACACAAAGTGATATGAGAAAATAAAACCTTTGTGGTTAGCAGCGAGTTCTTGCAAGGTAGAGAAGGCGACGGTGGATGAGGGCAGAGCGGATAGGGAGGAGAAGGACTTAACAATTCGAGCAGAAAACTGGATTTGGAGCATCGTACATATTGAAGGATGACGATACCGCAAGCAGTCTTCCTCCGTATTTAGGGTTTTTGGGAAGATATTAAGGGATTTGGGCCTTGGGCTTGGGATCCGCGTCGTATATGTGACCCGATTCTACGCCCACGGCCCATCTCCGTACTATTACCACTAACCCATTACTATCATCATTATTTTCATTCCTTACATATGATTTAGAGTTTATTTAGGATAATATTTTGCTGTTTTATTTTATGATAATATTTATAATTTTATATGACTATCACTTTTAAAAAAAATATTTTTTACAATTAGAATAACTAAGGCTTCCTTTGAGCAGCTTTTTTAGGCTTCATTTGGGAAGGCTTTCTCACTGCTTCTTAAAATATTTTTTTACTATAAAAATTTAATTTTTAAACTAAAAAGCTATTTTAAGAATAAATAGAAAAAACATCCCAAACAAAGCATTACTATGCTTAAAAATAACTTTTTAGTATAAAAATTTTAGAATTAAAAATTTATGTGTGCTAAAAAGCTGCTTTAGAAAGTAGTAAGAAAATAATTTCAAAAGAAACTTAAGTTATTTTCACCACAATAATTCTACAAACAACTTTATAAAATGCTACAGTCACTCTAAACAGATCCATACTTCAACCAACCACTTATTATTCATGACACATGTCACTTATTTTATATTTTTATATTTTTCATCACTATCATCTTAAGCTTCGTTTGGGAGGGCTTTTTGACTGTTTCTTAAAGCAACTTTTTAGTATAAAAATTTTAATTTTTGTACTAAAATGATGCTTTAAGAACCAGTAAAAAAGCCGTCCCAAACAAAGCCTTAAACACATTATTATTGATCTTATTGAGGCACTTGGCTGCTAAGCCTGATCATCTCAGTATAGAGAATCATCTATTTATGTCATCCTTTTTTGTCTTCCCAATTAGCTAGAACTAGCATGAGCATCCATCCACATCATAACCCCTTAAATGTGAATATGGTAAATGAGATAACCGATCGAGAAATACAATTACTTATGTTAATTGCTTTTGCAAGATCTTTTTGTGATATGATCCTTCATCTAGATTTAAGCAAATTTACTTCTTGTACATCATTAAGAAATATTTATCTTGAATTTCATGACAATATGATTTAGTTCAATCATTCACAACCCATTTTTGACATGTATCACTTCTTTTATATTTATTCACTTATTGCTTTAAAAGCGATCAAGGCAATAATAAGAGTACACGTTTTTGATATTTTGGGTCTATTGTTATAAGTGATGGTGAAATAAATGGGGTATTATTAGTAGAAATCAAGTTGGATGGACTAAGTAGAAGAATGCTTTAGGCTTGTTGTGTAATACAGTAATAGAAAAATACCTCTCAAACTTAAGGGAAAATTCTATAAGATGATGATTAGACCTGCAATGCTTTATGGAGAAAATGTTGTCCATTAAAAGGGAAGACTAATTTTATGTTAAGTGTTGCATAGATTAGGATGCTCAGGTGGATGAGTGGCTTCACTCTTAAAGACATGACACGAAATGAGCATATACGTGAAAGGTTGGACCGTTGGAGTAGCTCCAGTGGTATATAAGATTAGAGAGAGTCACTTAAGATGGTTTGGTCACATAAAACAGGAGCCTTCCGATGACTCGGTTAGGAGAGTAGATGTATTAGATTTAACATATGTTAAGAAGGGTAGAGGTATACCTAAAAAAAATTGGTTAGAAAATATTAGAAATGACTTTTCTTTATTAGATCTAAATGAAAATTTGACTCTTAACCGGACACAATGGAGAAAATGGATTCATGTAGTCGAGCCCATGTAACGAGATAAAGGATTGATGTTGCTGTTGCATTGCTTTAAAAGCAGTAATTAAGTAAAAAAATTAAAATTTTAACTAAATAGCTACTTTAAATTGATGCAGGTTTTTGACAGGTTTTACAACTGAAGAAAATTTGGCATAACATAGCTGTTTTGCTCTTCTGTCTTCTATGAGAAAGGTGTTTTGCTTTTCTAGCATAATCATAACCATTTTCATGCCACTGTTTATCTGCTAGTTACTTGTTCATACATAATATATCACAGCCATCTTCATGCCACCGGTTTATCTACTGCCTTCAATGAGATTTTTTTTTAAAGAATTTCTGATTGTCATTAGCAAGATTTAGGCCAGATTTGGGCGAAATCCAGCCAAACGGCCTAAAATGCAAAATCAAATCTCACGGAAAATGAAAGTCACAGTAGACAGAAAAATCCCCCCTTTTCGTGCTAAATCCCGGATTTCTGAAATCTTCTATTTTACCGGATTTAAGGCTCTATGAGCGCGAGAGGGTAGAGTCCGCTTGTTAAATCTGCTCTATAGCCAAACAGTCACATGGGATTTAATCCGCTCTATACGGCTATATCAAAAAAATTTCAAGATTTAGAGCTCCCATGATTTCCGAAATCCGGATTTAGAGGGTTTACAAAATCCTGCTTAAACAGCCTCTTAGGAAGGAAACAAAAGCTTATAGCTTCTGTTGTTAAACGAAGACTTGCAGCTTCATGAATGTGTGTGATAGTGATGGACTGTTCTAAGGTTTCTGATACCAGTTAAACTCAAAGCAGAAGGACAAATGCTAATATTTCTCAGTATATCTGTATGAATTACAGGCTTTAAATATGAGAGAAGTTGATAGAAACCTGTGAGACACAACTCTCCTTGGCCTATTGGTTGAGAGCTTAGGCTTCCAATTAAGAGGTCCAAGATTCGAGTCTTTGTTAGAAACCTGTGAGGTTCTTTACTAAGTTTCTGCAAGTTTTAAAGAGGAAACATCTTGTCATGGAACTTGGCTTGTCATAGAGTTGATATTGCCTTAAATGGTTAAAGGAGGGCACGGTTCTGAATTTATGCAGCCTGCAAAAGCTCAGCTTTGAAAAGTTGCAATTTTTAGCTTTCTGTTCTTCTTAGTGCTGATTAAGAGGTTGAAATTTTGAAAATTTGCCCTTAAAAATTAATTTAATCAATCTGTTCTTAGTCTTTTGCTTTAAATTTCTTTTAAAACAAAGCTCATTTTCTTCTTGTAGTTTTACTTTTGAGTGACATTATTATATTCGTTGTAGAGATATTCATAGCGATCTGATCTTTACCGTTGATTTGAGGAGAGATTCATAAAGGCTTGCCATATTTAGAGATAAAATATTATATAAATTCAATCAATTAATAAATGTATTTTATAAATGTTGTAGGTTACATTATGATAATAGTGATACAATTTTATTAAATAATTCATAATGCTAATACCTTATTTGTGAAGTTTAATGATGATACTCTTTTATGTGAAAAAAGTAAGATTGCCACAAAAATCAAGTTACATGTTAAATATGCAAAAGGTATATTATTTTAATAAAATGTTATCAATGCTTCACAATTTAATATGACATAAAAAAAAAATTTGTATGATTATTTTTAAGTGTAATGGTTGATTTTAATAGTTTGAAATTTTAAAATAATCTTCTTTTTTTGTTGATGGATCATTTTATTTAATACATGTGATTAGTTTCTTCTTAGTGCTGATTAAGAGGTTGAAATTTTGAAAATTTGCCCTTAAAAATTAATTTAATCAATCTGTTCTTAGTCTTTTGCTTTAAATTTCTTTTAAAACAAAGCTCATTTTCTTCTTGTAGTTTTACTTTTGAGTGACATGCATTATTATATTCTCTGTAGAGATATTCATAGCGATCTGATCTTTACCGTTGATTTGAGGAGAGATTCATAAAGGCTTGCCATATTTAGAGAGAGAGAGCAATTAAACTGGGAAAAAAAAAATCATGTCAATTTAAGAGACCCAAAACAACATGAGTCAGATTCAAATTAGCATGAAGAAAATGACTTAACTTGTTTGAATAGTTTTTTTAATTTTTATTTAAATAAAATTAAATTGTATTTTTAAAAATGTGTTCAAATTGAATTATCGTGTTCATTTAGGATTGGGTGAACGTTTATATGTTAAGATTTACGTGTTTTTCATATTGGACATATATCGGGTTTAATTGTGTCAAAATTGGGTAAAGAATTTAAATATATTTAATAAATGGGTTGGATTCAAATTCATTATATTAAGTTAAATTGAACCTTCTAAATGTATTCATATGGTAAGAGTTTTTTAGTGCTCCAAAATTGTTCTTAGTAATTGTTACTTAACGTCAATGCTCTAAAAAATGTAAATATATCAGTTGTTTACAGGGACAGAACCAGCTTTATTTTTGTCGGGTGGGCAAAATTGATTAGCTAGCATATAGAGAAACTCTGGGGGTGACAAACATGAACTAGATAGGAGAAATAGTGTACAGGAGAAACAACGAATGGTTGGGCTTGAGTGAATTGGATCTGGACTGGATGGGGGCAAAACTCTTTAAGATAGGGTTAAAAAAATTTTAGCAGGGCAAAATTTTTAAATTACCCTCCCTTATAAGCAAAACTCAAATTTGAGGGTGAGCAATTATCCACCTTGAATTTAACTTAGTTCCACCCTAATTGTTTATATTTATTAGAAAATTAGGTGAGACTTCATTTAAATTATGAAAAATAAAAAAAAAATTAGTGATTTCAAGCAAAGAAGACAAATATTATATAAATTCAATCAATTAATAAATGTATTTTATAAATGTTGTAGGTTACATTATGATAATAGTGAAAATAGATAATAATAATAATAATAAAAAATAATAATAATAATAATTATCATATTTTACATTTAAATAAAATCTCAAATGTAGGTAATGATAGGCACTCATTGCCTTTAGTTCCCCCATTGACTTTGTATAATTTTGAGTATATGTAAAATAATTCTACATGCGAATATTATAGCTTTACAACTTAGTTTTAATTTCAATCACATCAAAAAAATCTAATTTTAAATTCGATATTGTTGATACTGGTTTTATATTAGATTTTGGTTATGAATATTTTCTTTTATATAGTATGACAATAAGTACGTTAAACGGTTAAAGAAATGAAAAAAAAAAATTTATTCAATATATATTTAAATGAGTCGTCTCAATAATATGAAAAATGTTTTTCAAAATATCTTAATATTAAACTCATTAAAATGAATTTTTATAGGCCTTGGATTTTCATTAAGATTAATATTATATATACATACTGTTGCGGGGTAGAATATACGCGGCGATAGAGTTAGGAAGTTTTTGTCTCAACGTTGTATAGATACTATCGCACAAACAGAAGATAAAAGAACATCATAATTTTTACGTGGGAAGCCCTGAAAAGAGAAAAATCACTGGGTCACACCTAGTTGAAAGAATTCCACCAGTTGCTTGAGTTACAAGAGCTAGACTGCCTCGTCCTTAAAATTTATGACGATCATATTACAATAATCAACTCTTGGAGGTCGGACGGAACTCCTGCGTCACTTAGAAGTCGGACGGAACTCCAGTGTCACTTGAAAGTCGGCGGAACTCCGGCATCACTTGAAAGTCGGGCGGAAATCCAGCGGTGGCCGAGGAGGAGTTTCTTCCCTCCCATTCTTCACTTCTCTCATTCTTCTTCTTCTTCTACTCTAGTTCTCTTTTAAGAGAAATGAGGGGTTATTTATAATTTTTTGAGGATGGCATGACCCTTAAATAGGAGGAGGATCAAGGACAAATGAGGAGTGGTTTGCATGGACAACCGATATTGAATCCCTTGATTGTGGACCATTCGTCAGACATTTGAAGATCTTAATGATATAGGAATTCAACAATCTTGGGCTCGTTGGATTTGTCTTGTCGAGCTGCTTGATTCGACTATAAGCATGTCATGTTTGAAAACCGTTTGGTAATCCAAATTGTGGTTTGAACCTTTCGATAGTGCTTCGGGTCTTCAATTCAGACACATTCGGGCTCGGATTGAGTTGAATTTGATGTCGTTGGGTTCGTATTTCTGAGACGCTCAGTTCGACTATAAGTTTGTTGAAATCAGAGTTCAGATGATTCCATACTTAATTTTTGAAACTTCCGGCCTGATTTTATATACCTCGAGATTTGTGCCCGATCAAGATATTTTTTTGATGATATATCACATACTAAATTATATTAATTTTAATACAAATTCAAGGCTTTAAAATTTATCTGAATGTATTTTATATAAAATATTTAATATGATATTTTTCTACTAATAAAATTTTTTTAAAGAACTTTGATGATTATTAAGAAGTTTTAGGGATTTTTATTCCAATTTTATGAACTTAACTCAAAATTTTTAAGTGTGATTTAAGGGTCTGTTTGGGATAGTTAATTTTCTCGATGCATTTTTTTTTAAATAGCAACTATAATTTTATTTGTCTATTATTTTAACTTTTTTTAAAAGAATTTTGTATTGAAACCTATTTTTATAATAATAGTTAATTTTCTCACAATAATTTTATAACTAACTTTATAAAATACTATAGTCATCTCAAACATACTTTAAAAGCCTATTTGAGACCGTTTTTTCACTGCTTTGCTTTTCATAATACTATAATTTTGTTTTGCTCACATTGCATTCAAAAAATTTTGTATTGTAAAATTGCTTAATGCAATAGAGGTAGCTAAATTATATTCCCATTGGAACTCCATATATAACTAATTTTATAAAATGTTGCAGCCCTCCCAAATAAACCCAAAATCTCCATTAACAAACACACTTAAGTCGAAAATAAGACTGTTAGTTTTAAGAGAAATTATTCTGTGTGGACGCCGGATGTAGCTCTATGTACGGAGGCGAATCAGGTGCAGCCACGTCAGCGTACTGCTCCAGTACCGAGCCGCGATATGGAGTGAAGGGTTGACGTGGCGCATTCTGGTTGATCTCCAGATGGTATTCCGCATTCGCACAACATAATATTTTCAATTTTAAAACCTAGAATGGATCCCCAATCAATAATTCTAAATAAATTAAAACTAATGAAATCCAAAAGCGTACAAAAATTAAGAAAAAAAAAACGAGTTTATTATCAAGCTAAACCAGACTTATAATCTTGATTAACCTAATCCATTCAAGGCGAAAGAACCCAAAAGATTAGAAAATGAGAGAGGTTTGGCCCCTTGTCCCCTTACCTTTTTTGCATCATTATGGATGGTTTGGCCTCTTTATTAGACCTTGCTACATCCAACAATTCTCTTCAAGGCATTAAAGCTGGTAATTGTGAGGTTTCACATCTTATGTTTGATGACGACCTACTTGTGTTTAGCACTGCCACCACTTCAAATGCTCACACTATTAAATCTATTCTTATGGATTTTGCGGCTGTTTCTGGGCTTAATGTAAACCCTATCAAAAGTTCAATCTTAATTTCCAAAAATACTATGGTGGCTGAGGAAATCTGTAATATCCTGAATGTTCAACAATCCTTCTCTCCTATGAAGTACCTTGGCTTGCCTATCTTCTATAAAAAATTGAGATCTTGTAACTTCCAGCCATTATTGCAAAAAATCACCACTCTTCTTGATGGCTGGAAAGCCAAAACATTGTCTTTAGCTGGAAGAGTCCAATTCATTAAATTCACTATATCCAATACTCTGTCTTATTGGATTCGGGGCTCAATAATACCAAAAGGTTGTTGTAAACAAATTGATAGGCTATGCTCCAGATTCACATATTATGGCAACATCAAAGAGAAGAAGCTCATTACTATTTCTTGGAAAAACACTTGTTGTCCTAAAATTAATGGGGGTTTGGGCATACCTTCCATTGACTCTCTTAAGCATAGCTTTACCTGTTCCATTATCTGGAGATTTTTAAATGCAAATGCTCTTCTTTTTAAATGGTGGAGAGCCAGATACCATTCGTTGTGGAATACTTATGCTATTAAAAAATCTTCTTATTGAGATTTTATGTGTGCTAAAGCGAATGAGATTAAAAGCTGTATTAGCTTCTCCATAAATGCCAGTAGCAATCTGTCTTTTATTTGAGATCCCTGGTGTGGTGGCCATTCTGTTGCTGATCATCTCACCAATGCAAACTCTATTTCTAGTTTTTCTTATCTTTTTGGCAAAACTGTTTCTCAGTTTATTTTGGGGGATCATTGGAATATTCCTAACAGCTTTGATAAATATCTTATTACTATGATTAAGAATGTGGCTATAGTCTGGCAACCTGAAAACCATTTCTGGTATGACAAGCAACACCCTAGTTTTGGTGATTTCCATTCTATGTTTTCGGCTCATAAAGAAAAGGTGTCTTGGCATAAGCATATTTGGCATAAAAGGGGTGCTCTTCGTTTTTCTATCTATGCCTGGTTGGCGTTTAAGGGTGGATTAAAAACAGTGGATGTTCTTGCTATTAGAGGTATTCTGGTCCCAAATAACTGCTGTTTTTGTCATAATAGTATGGAAACTATCACTCATCTCTATTTCGAATGTAGTTTCACCTTTGATATTGCCAAAAAGTTATTCCCTTGGTTACAAAAACTGTTAATGAGATCAAATATTTATCAGTTGTATGATAGTATTTGGGAGCAGAATTTTAATTCAAAAACGAGGAACCTTTTCCTTCTTACTGCCTCTGCTACAATCTATTATGTCTGGCGTGCAAGAAATGACAGAATCCTTGGTGGCATTATTGATTGTAATGACACAATTACTTCTAAAATCAAGAAAGCTATTTTGTTAAAAAATCTGGGTTGGAAAACATGATGATATCCGAATTCTGGAATCTGGAAGCTGTTTGCTGGAAGCTGGGCGTTGCTTTTTTCTGGAAGCTGGGTGCTGCTTCAAAAATTCTGAGACTGCTGCATTTGATTCTGATGCTTGCGAGCTGGGTTTTTATTTCCCTGAAGCCTCACTATTGTTTTTTTTCCGATATTGAGAAGGTTCAGTGGCAAAATTATTTTGGAGGGAGCTACAAATTTTGAAAGGACGATGATGAACGCTGATTTAATCAGCTGCCCTTTGGACGGTCTACTGGGCAACCAGGGGCCATGCTCAACTATGACCCAAACGACTTTTGACCCTTCGAGAATCTGAGCATTTTTCTGAGTCCTTGGCATCTAGGCCATTTTATTTTCTGCATTTGTTATTTCTGTTAAGCATTTTCCTTTCTTTAGAATCCAAAACCTTTTTTTGTTTGAGATTGTTGGATTATAGTTTTGGCTCCTTACTTGTAATCTTTTTTATCAATGAGATGGGCTTTATGCCCCAAAATTTCCCAAAAAAAAAAAAAGAGAGGTTTGGCATACTTCAGATCATTTAATGCATTGTTTGGCAACTGCTGACACCAATGAAACTCATCATATGATGAGTCCACCATATTTATTAACCCAAAAATAAAAAAAATGAATAAATAACCTTTGAAGCGAACCAAATGAATTGAAAGGCACAGCAGCAGAAGAGAATGAACAGTGAACAAAAATAGAAAGAATGAGGAGTCGCCAAGCAAATGTGACTCGAGATGGAAAAGGCAAAAGCCTAAACTCCAATCCTCTTCTCCATTCCACTTCCTCCTTAGCCTCTTAGCCTTTTCTCTCTCTCTCTCTCTCTCTCAGTCTCTCTCTCTCTCCCTTCTCTCTTCTCTCGTCTCTCGTGCCCTTCTCAGTCCTGCTTCCCCTCTCACACCAAAGCAGAAGTGCCCCATCACAACTCAGACCAGGATTGGACGTATGAACACCACCCCTGCTTTCTCTCTCAACCCTCTCAACCTCTCTCTCCGTTCTACTGAACTCTCCTACTATAAATCACCAAGCCAACCTTACATCTCTTCACCACAGAATTAACAACACGATAGCTATATGTATGTGTATACTTAATTTTCATTGACAATGAAGTCTATGAAGGCGAGCTCGTCAGCCGCCGCAGGAGGCAGCGGTGCCGTTGAAATGGACAGTAGAATATGGCGTAATCTTCCAGCTGGTCTCGTTGACCGCATTCTAGCTGTGCTTCCACCGGCCGAATTCTTCCGTCATCGCGCCGTTTGTAAGCGCTGGTACTCTCTTCTCTTTTCCGACAGCTTTCTTGAAGCCAATCTCCGCCTTTCCCCGCGCCGCCACTGGCTCGTCTTCTTCCTTCTCGCTTCGTCAACTAACCCTTTAACTTCCTCCTCCACCACGTCCTCCTCTGCCACCGCTGCCGCCAAACCACCACCTCCCGCACTCCTCCTCGACCCCACCACCAATATTTGGCTCCGCCTACCTCTCAGCTCCTTCCTACCTCCCGGATTCTCCCCCGCCGCCTCCGACTCCGGCATACTCTGCTTCATGTCGGACTCTCCTGGTCCCAAAACGCTTCTCCTCTCCAATCCTCTATCCAAACTCGTCGCCCACCTCCCCCCTACTCCCCGCCCCCGCCTCTACCCTTCCGTAGGCCTGACCGCCGGACCTTCATCCCTCTCCCTCATCCTCGCAGCCGATGACCTCATCTCCCCTTTCGCCGTCAAAAACCTCACCGCCGAATGCTTCCACGCTGACGGCGCCACCGGCTTTTACTCCCCATGGTCAACCGTCAGTCAACTCCCTCGCCTCTGCAGTCCCGACCCCGCCCGTCTCGTCTTTGCCGAAGGCACATTCTACTGCATGAGTTGCGCTCCCTTCGCCGTTCTCTCTTACGACGTGGCCTCCAACGATTGGTCCAAAATCCAAGCTCCCATGCGCCGTTTCCTCCGTTCACCCAGCCTCGCCTTACGCGGCGGATCGCCGTCATCCGTACTTATCATCGCCGCCGTAGAGAAGAGCAAACTCAGCGTTCCGCGTAGCGTCAGAGTCTGGTCCTTACATCCCTGCTCCAAAGCATGGACGGAAACCGAGCGCATGCCGCCTGAGATTTACAGACAGTTCAGCGAAGCTGAAGGCGGCAGAGGCTTCGAATGCATCGGTCATGGAGATATTCTCGCCATCACCATCAAAGGCTCTACTGACATCATTCTCTTCGACTTCATAACAAAAGAGTGGAGATGGGCACCACCGTGCCCTTTTACTAGCGTCAGCGGCGGCGAGCTGAGAGGGTTTGCTTACGAGCCCCGGCTGGCGACGCCTGCGATCGGATTGATCGACTCCTCTTCTCTCTCATTCCAATGATATATAAGCACTGCAGTAGTTATTATGGTGTAGTTAGGAAATGGGATGTTTGTTTCTTCTGCTGCGGCTGTGGATTGCTACAGTGAAGTTGGTTTCTAACTTTCTAGTGTTAGTCGTTGGGGCGCTTAGGGGTTGCAGCTGTGCGGCGTACTATTTATGTATTGATGGTTTAATGGAATTGAAAAGAAAAAAAAAAGGAAGTTCGATCGATAGCGATGACGGATTTTTTGTTTGTTTATGTGGTTTATGAGGAAAGCAGGACAGGAGGGTTTTACAGGTGGTGAGATCAGAGAGAAGCAGTGAAGAATCTGTCTGGCGGTCACATGCATGAATTTTACTGTGTTCTCGAACAACCAAGTACAACTTTATATAAATAATATATAAATATAAATATAATAGATATTGACTTGGAAGATGAGAACTTAAGAAGATGGACTAAGAAGCTCAATTTTGTTTTAACATCAATATTAGATAATGCATTTAAGAAAATGTGTGGTAATTTATTATTATTTTAGTAATAGTTAAGTAATCAAATTTATATTTTTCACTTAAAGTTTAAGAAGAACAGGTATGGCCACGGGCGGATCCAAGGCAGGCTGAGGGTGGGCATTAAAAAAAATACTCTAGTGGAGGGGTAGTTTCGGAAATTTGCCCCCCTCACAAAAATTTTTTTGCCCTAAATCTTCTCATCCGAGCCAGCTTGCCCGATTCGGACATCCGTAGTTTTCTTTCGCCATCGCCCTCTGTTCGAAAATTTCAAGTTTGCCGCTGGGTGAAGAGATCGCTGGACGGGTGGAGCACTCTCGTAGTGTCGTTCGTAGTCGCAGCTACCTTCATCATTTTGAAGGTATGTTTTAGTTGTTTGGTGAATCCCTACATCTCCACTTGTTCTATTTCTTTCTTCATTTTATCTTATCTGCTTGACTGCATCTTCAAAAAAATACAGCTTACATATTTTCTTATCTGCATCTTGTTTTAATTTCATATCTGCATCTTGTTCTTCTGAGATGACTGAGAGTAGTGCAGGCTGCAAAATAAAAAAATATGCATCATAAGTCAAGTAATTGCAAATGTTAAGCTTGGTGGAAGCAATGGAATCACTTCTCACCTATGCAGATTCTTCTCTTTTACTATATTTGTTCATCTTATTAGTCATCTGTTATGCCATTCAATTTATTTTTGGTTTAAGGAGCAAATGACCTTTGTTTTTTGTTTTTTTTTGGATAGGAAATAGTGATTTCAATGCATCCGTCACTAGTAAATTAGGTCAATTAATGGTCTATTACAAGGAGCAAATGACCTTTGTTTCTTTTTTTTTTTTTGGAATAGAAAAAATCTGTCCCAAATTTTCATTAGGTGGGCACAAGGCCATGGTAGATTCTCACGATATTTAGAAAGTTGCAGAATTTCTCAGCCAAAGCTATGTCCTTTTTAAAATTTTTTAGTTACATATATCTCTATCAGAACCATTAATGGTGTTTGCTTAAGGAATTGGAGGACCATTAATGTTTTTTGTTGGTAGCTTTCAGTTTGGATTGTTTTATGCCATTATTTGTCATTTTCTACATGCCGGTGACATATCCCTTAATCATTTTATTGGCATTATTGGCATTTTTACTTATTTTACATAGTTCATTTGTGAATTTAGTTAGAATAACAATGTTAGCTAATTTGGATTAGTCATTGTTAGCCTTTAGAGAAATGGAACGGTTCTTGAAGAGAAAAGAACGTGTCGAGATTGATATTGACAATCTACCTCCTGATCCTGGTCTTCGACCATCCATCTGGAGTTATGATGTAAACGATCGTGATAGAGTTCGTAGAGCTTATTTGTTGAAGGGAGCACATCAATCAAAAAATCATCAATTCCCTCAAACAAAGATAGGAAATATTGCACGTAGATTTAATTCAAAATGGTTTGAAGACTTTCCTGATTGGATGGAGTATAGTATTCAAAAAGATGCAATATTTTGTCTTTATTGCTGCTTGTTTAAGCCTCAAGAGCAAGTTAATACTAGCAAAGGCGGTGGAGACACATTTGTTGGTGAGGGATTTAAGAACTGGAAACATAAAGAGAAGCTATTGACATAATGTGGGTATTTACTTTTTTATATTTTGAATTTGCCCCCCTAAAAAAAAAGGCTGGATCCGCCCCCCCCCCCCCCCCTAAAAAAAAAGGCTGGATCCGCCACTGTGTATGGCGGTCACTTTTATCATTAACTTTCGATCGAGTGACTTCTCTTCTTGGTAAGATCATGTTGCTACTTCTTCAACTATTTTTCATGGTTGATGGCCTTCTAATGAAGATCTCGTCATGATTTCATCTTTTTCTATACATTTAGCGTTGACAGTTTCAAGTTAGGATAAAATAAGCCATCGGTAGCACATCAATGAGATCTCATTGTTATAAACTCTTTACACATGTCACCATCTCGTTAATTACCTTTAAGGTTTGTTTGGGACTTTCTTAATGCATTCTAAAATAGTGTTTTAGTTAAAAACTCTGCTTTAGAAATTAATAAGAAAGCTGTCCCAAGCGAAGCATAAGTGTAAGATCATATCACAACTTATACGTTTCCTTCATGTGGATGGGAAACGAGTTAATGGAGTGTTATATTAATTAAAAAATAAATTTTACATATTAAATATATTAATATGATCATTTAAACTATTATATATGTAGATCTCTTTATTTATTTATTTTATGTCTTATTATTTATCTAAATTTTTCATAAAATTGAGCTTATAAAACTTTTAAGAATAGCCAATTTAGTGGCCCACAAAATATTTTCCTAGTCAACACCGTAATTAATAATTATCTTTCCATTATTTAGTAATATTTATTTGGGATGATTTTCTTACTGCTTCTTAAAACGATTTTTTAGTACTAAGAATTACTTTAAATAGCAATAAAAATTTATCCCAAAGGAAGCCTATCTCTTATTCTATAATCTATATTTGAACTTTAAAGCAACACACTTTATTATCATCATCTAATTAGTTTGCTCTATATTACAAATATATAATATTTTAACTGCTATTTAATGGATCTAAATAATCAAGTTACAACTACAAAGACTAACATTAATGAAATGAGGCCTATAAAGATTTAATTCAATGCTAAATTATAATTTCTATCTATATTGTCTAATAATCGTTAAAAATATTATAAAGATTTATTTGGGATGGTTGCAACTTTTTATAAAGTTAGTTATAAAGTCGATATGAGGAAATCGTCTAATTGTAAAAATAACTTTTCATCGTAAATATTTTTAAAATGTAATGAGAAAGTAGCAAAATAATAATAACCAAAGAAAATTAAGATTAATATCTAAAAAATAATTCATTCAAAATAGTTATGCAGACCAGTTGGCCGATAAGAGGTTTCCTCTTGAGGAGATGATTGGGTGTACTTGCTAGTGTACCGACTTGGATAATTCCATGAGAGTTTCAATTCAGAGAAATTGCTAAGGGCACTTTTCTATTTGCTAGAAGCCATCTTTGACCTATCAAGAAAGATTGCCCACTATAAAGATAGCTACAATGAGTAAACTTATGTCATTATATGTAACCGTGTCAATTTGCTAATTCTCTATAGTTCCTACTCTGGCATCCATCTATAAACCAGGCTAGAAGTTAGGCACAGACACATGAACTAATAATCACTATTAATAAATTAAATTTTCACAAAATTTTTTATAACCTACTACAGCGATTTAAACATCTATTAATTTATTTACAAAACTAATGTATTTGCGTTCACTGCAAAGGCCTTAGTACGTAACGGTTTTAAAAATTCTACTATACCAACTTATGATTTTCTTTCACCAGTTCGATTCGATTGCCTAATTCTCCCTGCAAGAAGATGGGAATCAAACACTCATTTGAGAGGAAAATGGCTAGAAGGAAGGGAGCAAGCAAAAGTACAATAACAGGGATGAGGAGAAGAGGGCTTTGCTTATTATTTTCTGGTTTGCATCTGCACCTTTTCTCCCCTCGCATTCTTTTGGGTTTGGGATCGATTTTTGGTCGCCCTATTCAAACTGACAATGCTACCGTTGTCGGTTCTCGTCCTTCTGTAGCATGTATTCTTGTTGAACTCGATATCTCGAAATCCTATCCTGATTCCGTTTGGCTTGGCCCGGAGATGTTTGGTTATGTTCAAAAGGTGATTTTTGAAGGTATGCCAAATTTTTGTTTGCACTGTAAGGCTGTGGGACATAAAAAATCGGAATGTATCAAACTTCTCTCTCAGTCGCGTCCTGATGTAAATGTGGCTCCTTCTCTAGCTGTCCCCATTTCTTCTCCTCTTGTGATCTCAGCTGACCCTATTAATTCTGTTCCCTCCCCTATCTGTGTTAATGAGTTGGTTATATCTGAAGCCCCGTTGGATCCTGTTGGTCGGAATGGTGTTTCTGTTTTTAATGATGTGGGTGATGTTACTAATAATGTTGTTGTTGCGCCATCCACTATTTTTTCTGAAGTTGGTTTTGATGCTGAGGAGGTTTTGGAGGTTGGGGGTGTTAATTTGAATGGGTTTTCTCCAGGAACATTAACTGCTCCAGTTATTGATATCGCGGTGGAGGAATGTTGTACTCTGGTTGTTGGAATTGAACATCTTAATGTGCAGTCACCTGTTCAGGGTGGGGAAAATTCTGCTGGTGTGGGGTTGCTGGCGTCGGGATCTCCTGATGATAATGCTAATTGTAATCTGGATGGTGGGCGGGTGGAAATTTTGAATGGGGTTTCGGTTGGCACTGACAATTTCATTAATGTTCATGTTAACTTGGCTGATACGATTACTTTGGTTAATCAGCTGGGTGTACATTCTGGTTTTGATGTTAGGAACCATGTGGACTGGCTCCATGGTTCGTCTGAGTTTGGATCATAATCTGAATTTTCGGATTGTGGTGCTTCTCATGATTTTTTTGGTGGATCCGACCCTGGTAACGAATTTAATTTGATACGGGATAGACCTGTTATATCTGCTGCAACTCGTGGCCGCTTCCGTGGGAGGGGCCGAAGTAGAAGATAATGTTTTTTTTTGTTTGCTGTCTTCTTTCCCCACATTTGCTATGTGTTTATTCGGTTTATCATCACGACGGTTTTGGACT